TGTCATTAAATGGATCTTTTTCACGTTTTAACTGGAGGGCTGGTGACATTTTTGAACTGTATGTTATTTCACGGTGCCATCCGTGGTCATTTCAAGCACCCACCTGGACCATACAGGTTTTCATTACTACCCAGTGAGGAGTGCAGCAGGATATATCGATACGTTACCATTGGAGGGGTGGCACCAAAATGACTGGCAGTCATTTTGGTGTCACCCCCTCTGAAAACTCGGGCACTCGGTCAAGGGCCGAGAGCGCGACAGTAGCTCGAGAGAGAGGAGGGGACCTGGCGGCATACCTTATCCCACCGGGTGACGTCCCCTCCTCTCTCTGACGACATCCATCACCAAGATGGACACCGGCAGGTAACAGCAGTACCGCGCCTGACGTCACTGCAAGGTGTCACCCGGTACCCGCACCAGGGGTCACTCTGCCTCGGGACACCTCTGATACAGGCAAAACGGAAATGAAAATCGGTACGTTTGACCTTTAACCCCAGTAAATGGAAAATCTGATTGGTCATCCTGTGCTTTTGCAGGAAGTCATCCTTGCATGGTGAGCTGCTTTATTCAATAAGCGTTTACTAGTATTTAAATAAACAATTAAGGGTCAGGAAACAGTTATATGTGCCCACCGGCTGCTCTATTGTTTCCTACTAGCTAGAACGTAAACAAACAGAGTTAATTTCAGCGCTTCTACTTAGCTCCAATCATTTCTCAGAAATTTCATCAGGAGCGGAGCGCTGGAGGAAGGCCAGAAGATCCCGAGGAGTTCCCAGGAGAGCCGAGTTTACAGTATGAGATGATGCTGGATCATTAATGTATCCTCCATCCAGAGCCCGGATAAAGAGCAATACAAAAAATCCCCTTTCATTGTGCTGTGAATACAGTAAATGACGGAATCTTTAAAATAGCCGTTTGTTCATTTTTGTTCCCCGGCTGCACGGAAGTGGATTGGTTTAAGAGGAAAAGTACCTGCAGGAACCTTGTGATAGTTCTTTGTTGTAATGTAGTTATTAAACTTAGAGAGACATGACAGGTTCACTTTCTGTACAGTATATCCATTAACAAAGCAAATTGTTCATTTTTGTTCATGTGATTGTTTCTATGTGTGTATAAATGAGTGTATCTGGGTCATAACTGCAAATCACAGGGCCCCATAGAAAACTACAGGTGTACCCCCAGCACCCCCATTTCTCTATGCCTCTTCTCTTTTTTTTATGTACAGCAAATGACAGATGTCATTTTATGTTTTTTTTATGTACAGCAAATTAATTTTATGTACAGCAAATGACAGGCCCCATGGGAATTTATTGGTGTACCCCCATTCTTATATGCAGCCTCCCCCTTTGAATTTTATGTGCAGGAAATCATAGGGCCCCATAGCAAACTATTGGTGTAACCCCCTTCACCTCTATTTCACAGAGCCCCATTATTGGTGCACTGTCCCTCCTCTATGCCTTCTCCCCAATTTTAATTTTATGTACAGCAGATCACAGGGTGCCGTAGCAAATCATTGGTGTACCCCAGACATCCCAACCTGCAAAAACTAATTTCAGGGAGGTGGCTTTACGGGCTTCTGCCCCCCCAACCATGTACACACGCTAAGGAAAATAGCTTTTCTAATTTTTTTGGCAAACTTACATTGTACTTTGCAGTTTGGGTTGCGTCTGGGTCTCACCAGGGCTGCATGCAGATCTCACCAGGGCTGCATTTGGGTGTTGGGCTCTGCAGGTGGGTACTGGGCTCTTCAGGTGGTGCGGGTGGGTGCTGGGCTCGTGCAGCATTCATGAGCAAGGAGGTGGGGGTGCCTGTCAGAGTAAAACGTGCTGACATCGGGAGCAGTGCCTTGGCTCCTCTGGTCCCGGGCAGCGGAGAAGATGGCGGTGAGCACAGGTTGGTGAGCAGGGGGAATGGTGCAGACAGTGGCGGTGATCTCTGATGACCTTGCAGTGTCTGCCTGCAGATATCCTGGAAAGGTTTACTTTAGGCCTGGTTCACACCTAGGCGTTTTACAACGCGTTCCTACGCTCTGTAAAAAGCTCAACATGTGAAAAACAATGATTGCCTATGGGCATGGTTCCCACCTGGGCGTTTTACAGCGCGTAGGAACGCACTGCAAAACGCCCTACGCCCAAAGAAGTACAGGAGCTTCTTTGGGGCGTTTTTGCCGCGCATATCCATTGGGATACAGCCAGGTAGCACTCGGAAACGCGCGTTTGTCGCGAATCGCGGGATAAAAACGCGTGACAAACGCGCATATTCGATACGCCCAGGTGTGAACCCAGCCTTTTAGAGTAAACCTTTCCGGGATTTATAAATCTTCCACCAAGCCATATGCTGGGAGAATGCTGTTCACATGGCATTTCCGCCACTAGAAATGACAACAAAAACACCTTTTAGAAATGTTTAGTAATGACTATCTACAAACACATACTTCTAAATAATTGCCGGCTTTTTATTCTTTGCATATCTTATTTTTCTTTTCCTCCCATTTCTCTCACGGTGGCCCTTTTTACTAAGGGCAGATTGCTATATCTCCCTTTACTTCCTGGAACTCTGGCACATTTCATTATTTCAGGAGAGGAAAATGCCTTTCCCTGAGAGCTCGTGAGATTACAGATGAGATTTCCAAGCAATGGTCTGCTTATTCAACCTTCCCAGGAAGTCCAAGAGGACCAGGAAGTAGAAAAACAATAATTGGAAGTCAAAGCAATATGTTTGTTTAACTAATAAATGTAAGATGGTTTCACAAAAGCACCCAGAGCTGCAGGCTGATGTGATTTATAGTGAAAGGTCCACTTTAAAGGTAGGGGGCATGTTCAACTGTTAAAATGAATGCTACAAGATGATATAAGAGTAAAGTAAAACCATGTATATGAGATCCTAAGGTGAATTTTTGCTTGGAGTTTTTGCATTGGTCGAAGCGTGGTTACAAGTCACAGAACACTAGAAATGTTTTTTTTTTTTTTAAATGTTAACATTTATTTACCACAATTAGAAAAAGGAAACATTTTGTTCTTGGTTACTTTATTAAAAAAAAAGAAAACCAAACAATCTATAAAAACAACAAAACACAAAATAAAAAACACTACATGCATACTGAAAAAAAAAGCACCACAGGTGCACACATTCTGTAACGGTTACGGTATTTCACAGCTGTGGACCTAGTACAGTACTTTCCTAATGGACTTCAAAAAGGAAAAATAGTTGGAAAGCCAATTGGCAGGCATCAGCTGAAATCTGGTTGGTTGTTGTGGGTGACTGCAAATAACAAGAACTTGGAAAGCAACAGTGACACATGCAGGGTTGGGTCTTGTTCGGGTCAACAGATAGCCACCAAAAAAAAAGAAACTCTCACAGGTATCTTAACTATTCCCTACTCGATCCAAAGCGAGAAAAACTACATTTTGGGTTTATATACAATTTAATTTATGTTTTTTGATTGGATAAAAATTACAACTCTTTGTACGTTGTCATTGCTCTTTTTTACTGAAGGATAAGAACAGTGAGGTCACCAGCACGCTTTATCGATATGTCTTTCTTTGATGTCAGATAAACATGGTAAGAAACCGAGCTTTCTAGTGATATCGTGTTTATCTGATGTCAATAAAAGACGTATCGATAACGTGGACCTTGGTGTGCTGGTGACCTTACTGTTCTTATTTATGCGGCGCCACCCTCTGGCCGTTTCAGCCCCTGCCGGAGTGAAATGTTGGTTTGGAGTGTAGAGGGTAGGGATGCACCGATAACCGATTTCCATATCGAGTACCGATTTTTTTTTCCCGGTACTCGCCGATATCGGAAGTCCCATTCAGGAAGCCAGGCGGCGTGTAATGACTCACCACCTGGCTTCCTGATTAGCCGGGAAGCCGGGCAGCGTGTAAAGACTCGCCGCCTGGCTCCCCGATTAGCAGGGGAGCCGTCCCAATGCTTCTTGTCAGTAGGTGACGAGAAAGCATGGAGCCGTCTTTCTGGCCAATCAGGAAGCCGGGCGCTGTGTAATGACGCTGCGCCCGGCTTCCTGATTGTCCGGGAAGCCGACTCCATGCTCACTCGTCATGAGGTGACGAGAGAGCATGAAGCCGGCTTCCTGACCAATCAGAATGCTGGGCGCCGCGTCATTACAGGGCGCTTGGCTTCCTGAAAGGCCAGCTTCCCACCAATCAGGAAGCCGGGCAGCATGTCATTACGGCCGGGATGCCAGCTCCATGCTCTCTCATCACTTGTGACAAGAGAGCATGGAGCCGGCTTCCCGGCCAATCAGGAAGCCGGGCAGCGTGTTATGACGCACTGCCCGGCTTTCTGATACCGGAAGTATCGGGCTAGGCATCGGAGCATTTGGGTGAGTACGAGTACTCGCCCAAATACTCGGCATCGGTACCGATACTGGTACGAGTATCGGTACATCCCTAGTAGAGGGATATCGGTACATCCCTAGTAGAGGGATATCTTTTACATTACTGAACATTCTCCGAAGACCTGGTCCAAGATTCAACAGCATACAAAAAAGAATAACCAGAAGAAAAAAGGCAACAAAAAAACAAAACACAGCATCCATCTTACAAAGATGACCGAAGGTATAAACAAATCCAACCTTAGAATATATCTGCAAGCTACAAGTCTCTCCCTTATAGGAGAAAAGCATTATTTTACACAGTCATGTATTTAATACTAACTTTTTTTAAAAACAAAATACAGTACAAAAAGTAAAAAAAATTAAAATGAACAAGCGCAAACATGATATGTGGTTGGTGTCTCCACCCCCTTCCAGTTTCCCAAAGTGACCTAAGAGTTCATCCTGTTAGTACGTTTTGCTAGCTATCATGGAACACTGAAGTAACAGTTCAGTCACATGACCGTCAAATTGGAACTTCTTATAATAAAGAAAAGAGAGCCAAGACATAGGAGCACTGTCCCTTGTAAACAGCTTGTTTTATTCTTTTCCCAGCATCGTAAAGGTCTTTGCTACGGCTCGGTTGTTCCCGGGAGATTCATGAACTTTAAATTAACACGAAAAGTTTGTGTTTTTCGTTAATTTTACGTTCCAAGGAGTCCACCGCCTTCAGGACTACCTTGACTTCGCTTCTGCTGAGGTTCCCCTTCATGTACAGAATTGCTTCAATTTGCTTGTTCCTGCAAAAGAGAAATTGCAATGACTTGGTCTGCATGCTCCTAAGATGAAAAAAAAAAAGCTCTGCTGCTAGGTACACTTTAGGATGATACAATTATGAGTTTGAGTTTGAAATGTAAAAAATATATATTTCAATTAGGAAGATAATAAAATCTTGATTTGATTTTTTTAAATTCATTTTTTATAGTTGTTTTATTGAATTAAAGGAGAACTATGAGGTAAGTGAAAATCACTCATCCTCATAGTTCGAGCCGACGTGTGACAATGAAACTGTTACACACCGGCTCTATTGATCGGGAAGTGAGCGAACATCTCGATCATCTGCCTGCAGGGAGCCGTGACTGTCAGTTATTGCTCCCTTCAGGGATTTCCACTAGATAGGCAGAGCCAGCTGTCACTCACACAGCTGGGTGGATCTCAACAGTAATATCAGGTCCCGTCCTGGCTGCGGTGGTCTCAGTATACAGCGAGCTGTAGCTTGTGATGTACTGAGCTTTGGGTCACAGGAGGAGGAGGTTAGTATATGTCCTCCCGTGACCCTTAATAGAACTATGGGGTAAAAAACTTACCCCATAGTTCTCTTTTAAGTTAAAGGGGTTGACTTATATACAATCTGTTTGAATCTGCGAATGTTCATCCTGTGCAAATATATGCACAAACTACTGTTCTTTCGTTCTTTTTTTCCTTTTCAAGGGTAATTGAAAGAGAAGTAAAGCCAATTTTTTTTTCTGGCTTTACTTCTTTTTTTGGTAACAGAAGTACATTTACTAATGTGCTCCTGTGACCCAATGTTGGCATATAGCAGGGTACTGTCCTGTATATGCTCACAGTGCAGAGCCATGCCACAGCTGGGAAGGATCCTGACTATATTGATGGGATCAAGCTGGCTGCCTGATTGACAGCTGACTCTTCCTCTCCAGAGCCGGCTGTGCCCACCTTCCTCCTTGTCTGTTCCTACAATATGCGCTGGAGGAACAGAGAGAGGAGGGGAGAATCCCTGTGCAGAGTGGGGATTGACAGTCACTACTCACTGCAGGGAGGAGACCATGAGCTGAGCGATCAGTAGTTACATCATCGCTCAGCTTTCAGTATAGATCTGGCTTGTGAAAACTACAGTGTCCCGCGCCGCTCTAAGTATTGGGAAGAGGTCATTTTAGTCTCCCAATTCTTCTCCTTTTTAAATGTGAATGTTCTGATATGTAATATTGCAATATGGCCACCGGATGGTGCTAAAGGAGCATAGGAAATAAGTATTTAATTGCTGGCTCCTCAGCTCCATCTAGTGGCCATAATGAAACATTACAATCGGAATATTTAAAGGAGAACTATGAGGTGAGAGAAAATTACTCATCCTCATAGTTCGAGCCGACCTGTGACAATTAAACTGTCAAACGTCGTCTCAATAGATCGGGAAGTGAGAGAACACATACCGTCGCTCGCTCACTTCTCAATCATCTCCCTGCAAAGGGCTGTGACTGTCAGTCACCGCTCCCTGCAGGGATTCCCCCCTTCCCCGGTGTCAGGATCCAGAGCACCCCCAGGTGGTTCTGGAGCAAGGTCCTGTAGTTCCTGTGCTCGCCTGAGGGTGTCTCCAGCAGCCAGGAACTGTCAGGAACCTGCAGCTCCAGTACTCACCTGCGGGTGTGCCCCAGCTGTGACTGATCATCCCATCACCTGGTGCTTCCTGGGAGGGTATTTAAGCCCTACCTGCAGTCAGGAAGCTGGCTCGGTATTGCGTCGCCTGCACCTGACTGACTCCCCTGGCCTGTGCCTTGGAACCTGAACCCTGCTACCTGAACCGTGCTTCCTATCTGCAACCCTGTCACCGACCCGGCTTGTTACCCGACCACTCTCCTTGAATCCTGTTCCTGTACCACGCTGCCCTCCTGTCACCGACCCGGCTTGTTACCCGACCCCTCTCCTTGAAACCTGTTCCTGTACCGTGCTGCCCTCCTGTTAATGACCCGGCTTGTACCTGACCACTCTCCTTGTATCCTGAGGCCTGCCGTATATCTGCAGGCCTGTTACCCCTTCTTGTTGCTATTCCCCCCTGGCTGTAGGGGTGTGTTTGTCCCAACGGTGGGTTTGTTACTTCACTGCTAAACCTGTGGGGGGGTAGAGGGGGTTTGTAGTTTTGTTGATGTGTAACAAATAAACTGTGTGCATAGAACCCTATGCTGTGTGGGCATATTAATTTGGTCATCCTGCTTGGGTACCTACATGTGGTGTGAGGATGCCTGTGCATGGTACCCTGACACCCGGTCCGATCATGGTACCCTGACTCCCGGTCCGATCCTCCAGCGCTGAGTGGAGGAGCAGACGTTGGAGGGGGCGGGTACAGCTGGCTCTGCCTCTAGATAGGAAGAGCCAGCTGTCACTCACGCAGCTGGGTGGATCTCAACAGCATTGTCGGGATCCATCCCGGCTGCGACGCTCTCAGTATACCGAGAGCTGTAGCTCGCTATATACCGAGCTTTGGGTCACGGGAGGACGCTAGTATATGTCCTCCCGTGACCATAAAAAGAACTATGGGGAGAAAAACACTTACCTCATAGTTCTCTTTTAAATTTTAGTTACACACGTAAAGGGAAAAATGAAAGAACATTTAATTATTTCTATCTTCACACAGAACGAACATTTACAGATAGTTGCAGGGTGAGCAGCCCTGCAAATTGTTTATAAATCGACCCCTTTAACTTAATTCAGTAAACTAAAAATAAATAAAAACAAAACAGGCTTAAAATTATTTTCACAATTGTATAATTTCATCATTTCAAATCAAACTCGCACTTGTATTAACTTAAAGGAGAACTATGGGGTCAAGGCTTTTCCCCATAGTTTTCCTTAGGGTAACGGGAGGACACAAACCAGCGTCCTCCCGTCACCCTAAGCTCAGTATACCGCGAGCTGACTGAGACGCCGCACCTGGAGCGGATCCCGACGTAGATGACGGGATCCGCCCAGCTGCGTGAGTGACAGCTGGCTCTGCCTATCTAGAGGCAGAGCCAGCTGTACCCGCCCCCTCCCCCGTCCGTTCCGCCAGTCAGCGCTGGCAGATCGGAGCGGGGAGAGGGGAATCCAGCCCCTCCCCCTGTCACGGCAGAGAGCCGTGACAGGATCGAGAGGTGAGGGAACCCGGTATGTGTTCGCTCACCTCCCAATCTACTAAGCCGACCTGTGACAGTCTCATTGTCACAGGTTGGCTAGAACTATGAGGTGAGTGGAAATCACTCATGTCATAGCTCTCCTTTAAAGCTCCCTGTGTTACTTTAGGCTTGGACCTTTTTTATTGGGCTGACTGCTTTGGGTTGACTGAACCATCTGCCTTCCAGTTTCATAAATTAGGTTCTCTGGTGCTCTGTATAAAAACGACGATTCCCGGGATGTTACACATATTCCTAAAGTCATTATGCTGTAGCTTATTTTAGTTCTCTTTTTTTTTCTGGGGGATTTCTTGAGTATATCGTGTAGAAGCGTGCCAAGGCCTGCAAATGCTAGTGAAAAAGAATCCATCAGCTGCTGACGCACGCCCAACGAATGATTCATTAGGCCAGGCCAGGGAATTGCATTCTCAGGGAATTAAAGCCTCATATTCCACTTCCAAGAAAAACTATTTTTTCCCGGGAAGTCAGCTGGCTGCTTCGTGTAAACTGCTCTGCCATCTGCAATCACTTAGGGACCCTTTGTGCTAAATCAACCCGGGCTGTCTTAGGGGCCCTTTGTGCTGTGAAATCAACCCGGGCTGTCAATGGTAGTTGAAAGTGAAAGCACTTTTTTTTTTTTTTGGTTCATCTGATCTATTGTTACCTCTAATCCATATGCCTTAAATGTATCATTATTGCTCTGCAGCACCATTCTGGGTAATGGTTCCTGAGGGCCGTATTGGTGGCAATGCGATAAAGTGGTAGAGATTTTACAACTTGCTTCCCACAATGACTCAGGGCATGTGCTGGAGGAGGAATCATCCAGTTTTATAGGCACCTCTTCCCCTACCTGTCCTGTAATATCACTGCCTCTTTCTCCACCCATCCGGTAATATCACTGCATCTCCCCAACCCTTCCTGTAATATCAGTGCCTCTTTCTCCACCCATCCCGTAATATCACTGCATTTCCCCCACCCATCCTGTAATATCAGTGCCTCTTTCCATCCATCCTGATATCAGCACTTCTTCCCCCAACCCTTCCTGTAATATCAATGCCTTTCTCTACCCATCCTGTGACATCAGCTCTTCTTCCCACTCCCATCCTGTAATATCAGTGCCTTATACCACCCATCCAGAGATATCAGTGCATCTTCCCCACCTATCCAGTGATATCAGCCCTTATTCCTCGACCCATTCAATGCTAACAGCATCTCTTCCGCCACCCATCCAGTGATACCAGTGACTTTCCCCCCACCCACCCTGTAATATCAGTGCCTCCTTCTCCACGCATCCTGTGATATCAGTGCTTCTTCCTCTACCTATCCAGTGATATCAGCACTTCTTCCCCCACCCATTCAATGACAACAGTATCTCTTCCCCCACCCATTTAATAATATCGGCACCTCTTCCCCCATCCTTTTGGTGATACCAGCACTGCAACCCCATGGCACCTCTTCCCCTACTCATCCACTGATATCAATGCCACTTCCCCTACCCATAGAGACTGATTGACAACATTAGGCCTTCCCTGTGTCATACATATTGAGTGTTTTTAAAGCACATCTTGTCCCAGTGCCATGGGACAACCTCACATGTTACCAGCATGAGCCTTAGCACCAATCCCTTTTCCTAGTTACATCTTTAGTTTGTCATCCTGTGCAGACAGGCTCACTGCCAGTCTGATTTGAGATTTCATCCTGCTGTGTGGATGGATGATGATGGGAATTTCATGCAAAGGAAGTATTTAGCTGCACGCAGTACAGTTCCAAAATTTGCTAATTGGATGAATACATACAGGTTTGTTTTTTTTTGTTACAATGGCTTGTGTAACATTGACTTCCCCATTTAAAGTTTAAAGCACAATTGAAGTCTCATGTGTTTTATCTTTTTTGCTTCCTCATTTTATTATGTAAATCTCCTTTTTTTTTTTTTTAATGTTTTAAAATCCCATTTTCTCTCAGGGAAAATGCTGCTTTGTGCTTTTCCGCTGCAGTGGTCTGTGCTGACCTGGGTAAGTAACAGCCACACCCTTAACACAAGTGTCCCCACATAGGCTTGTATTGCAGAGGAGGACAGGGGTATGCGTCTGACCAGGTCTTTTTTTGAGTTCTGATTACTGAGTGTACTGGGTCTAGGTTTGGTGCCTATTAGACAGCACAGTCCTATTTACATCCCCTTTCACAACTGCTGTAACAGGGAACTGGGTGAATGGCTATAGAACTGGAATTTGTTAGTACAATGTGTCTCCGATTGCCTAAGTATTTATTCATCTGGGAGTTACCCAACTTTGGCCTGAAGCTTAAAGCAACTAACACACAAAAAAAGAAAATTGTCTCTCATCATTTTAAACAAGCTTAGGCAATGAGCATAAGAATCTGCTTGCAGCCTTGTAGACAATGTTACAATTCTTTTCCCTAGGTAGAACAGTGTCATAATATCCTTACCGAATATCTGGATAGAGTTCAACAAATTTGGCTACTTGCAGCTGAATTGCATTTAGATCCTGAAGTTCAATTATTTCTGCAAGATTTGGTAATGCAGGTTTCAGCCAATCTTCACATGAGCGCTGTTAAAATAATGATATATAATTAGATTGCGCAGTCAAAGACATTACCAAAAGCTACAAGACCCTAAGGATCATTATTAAGAAGCCCCCCATAGGATTGACAGTTGCTGTCCTGTTATCTGTCAGACCTCATGCTTATAATACATACTGCCTCCCATCTTCTGAGTGTGCCCAGCATTCCCCTGGGGCTTTGGTATTGTATGTTGTTATGTACACCTAAAAGCTGGAAGTCTGTTTAATTGGTATGAGGACAGATGTTAGGGCAGCTGCTGTCAGACCTCAGAGAAGCTCTCAACTCTGGCAGACTACATACGGTGGCAAATGGAAATCTTTTGTATGCCCAAACACACATATATATTTAGTAAATAAATAAATATATATATACACTGCCTGGCCAAAAAAAAAGTCACACACTGTAATATTTCATTGGACCGCCTTTAGCTTTGATTACGTCACGCATTCCCCGTGGCATCGTTTCGATAAGCTTGTGCAATGTCACACCATTTATTTCCGTCCCATCAATTTGTAGTGATGATGGGAGAGTCGGACCACTGCATAAAGTCTTCTCCAGCACATCCCAAAGATTCTCAATGGGGGTTAAGGTCTGGACGGGCCAATCCATGTGTGAAAATAATGTCTCATGCTCCCTGATCCACTCTTTTCCAATTTGAGTCCAATAAATCCTTGGAATATTCCCAATGTGACATCAGAGAAGAAAAAGGCAGTGTGGATAGATATTAATTTACAACTAACTGTTCAAATTTTTGCATAAAATATGGCTGGCCCCATGCACTTTTATCATTGCAAACTATTCACAAAAACAAAGGTTCTTTTTTTAGATATATAGCGACATCAATATGATGATTTACAAAAAGCTCAACCCCTCCATGTGCAAAGCTAAAAAATATCCCTTCAGATAGACCGGAATCCTTTGTTACTAGTCTGAAGTATATTTTGCGTCTCAGTTAAAGTTCTTTGGTAGATCCAGACATCGGCAATAGCAGCACAAGGGATTAATTAGTAGAGTAAAAGCACCTTTTGTCTGGATACCTATGGAGATGGGAGCTGATGTTGTGCTTTGGAAATTGCAGCCCACGTTTCAAACTTTCAAAGAATTCCTGACGCAGCCAAACTCTGAGGCCTCTACACAGTTTACTTTGGAAATTCCTGCACGAGGAAAAGGCTGGGCAGTAGTTTTATCTTACCGCCAGAAGCCAAGACACGGAGTGCACATCATTAACACATTCAATGCTTCAATTGATTTGACTCTTGTATGGAAACATCTTCTGCATCCTAATCTCTCTCATTTGAATGTCTGTATTTTAGGGAGGTTTCTACCTATGCTGATTTTTCTTCAATATTTTATGTAAGAGATCGGAACCCATTTATTTATTACAAATTTTCTGTATTTTCATGTTTGTAGCTTTGATGAAGGCTGTTCTCGATAGGCCTCAAAATTAGTTGGCTTGTTAATGGACTTTTTATCACTCAATGGACTTTCTTGGTTGGAGTTTAACACTTGTCTCTGTGTTCTATATTTTGTAATCCTCTTCTGTGCCTAGTCTGGGTGCAGACTGACTACCATTGGGCTTAAACCCTTTCTACTGTGACACTGAGCCACATCCATCTGCAAGTCCGTGTTCAGTAAGAATGCCTAGTTGCTCTCACTGGACAGGATGCCAGCAGGTGAGCAGGACTTGGTCCTGTCATGGGTTGACAAAGTTGCATCCCAGGTCGAATCCTTCATAGTGTAGCTTCAAAGCGTTCTCGCGCAGGGCACAGAGGTGAGTTCTGTGGACTGTTCTTAAGTAACATTGGGTTAGGGATGCAGGAGGTTCCTACTTTATTGACAGGCCCACTTAAACTCCTGCACACCAACAATGCTCTTGGGCATTAGAACATACAGGAACTTCTCTATAAGTAATTGCAGGCCATTCCCTTATCTATGTAGATAAGTGAACAAACACAGGACAGCTTTATGGCAAGAATCCATCCTGTGCACAGGCAAGCTGAAAGGAACATGGAGGCTGCCATTGCCAAACTTAGATGTCATGTTAGATGTCTGACTTCAGTATATTCTGAGCCACGGACTTGGAATAAGCATCCAGTACATGAAGGGTAAGTCAAAACATCCTGTTTGCTTCTTCCAGGCCAATGACTTGCAGAACTGAAGACATTAGATCAGCATGGCAGCCAAGCCTCTAGCATTTTCAGCAGGGCAAGTGAAGGATTTCCATTTTTTTGTATAGTTTTCCTCTTTATCCTCAGGCTTATCAGTCCATTACAACTCCTGAACTGGTCTTCACGCTTACTAACATATCTGCTACAAGTGGAGCCCTCAAAATGCTAATAAAACAAGTCTGTCCGTAAGGTTGTTGTATCAGTTATAATATAAAAGAGGCTTACATAAGAAACTGAGAATGCATTGATGAGATCTGCGTTCTCCCGGATCTGGTTAGACAAAGTCTGCATCTGCTTTATGGTTTTATTGCTGGCTTTCCTCTTCAGGATTCGTGACAGGTGCTCTTTGACCAGGTACAGATGGATTTTCCCAGAGAATACCTAAAAGGAAAACATCACTTTCTTAATAAATCAGCAATTGCAAAGCAAATTTCTCATCTTTAGCAAGATGACACTGACCTCCTCTGTTAGTTGTCTGGGACTGTGTGTGGTTCCCCAGAGTAACCAGTTGCTTTCTAATGTGGGAATTGAGCAGAGGATCTTGGTGGGAGTTTTCTAACTATAGATGTTGTTTAGGACAATGGTTACTAAATATTTGCATTGACTCCATGAAATCAAGTGACAATTAAAGAGGTCCTTGCAAACATGATAGTAAGTGCTTAACCGCCCTGCTGCCCACGCTGCCAATGCAATGAAGATAAATAGCTGCCCAAAGACCATTCAGAAACCAATGCTTCCAAGAGTGTTGCTCTCCTGGTCCCCCTCTGAGTGGTTCATCCTTGTCACTACAGGACATACTAATGATGTAGGGGTAAGTTGGAGAAACCACTTGGGATGTGGGAGGAATCGCTGAATACAGTGGGGAACCAGACTCCCAGAAGTTTTGGTTTCTGAAAAAACTTTAGGTGACGTGGTCAGAGGAAAGGTAAATGTTTACCATCTTCTACCTATATTTTTTCATTATTTGTTTTAACTCCTTGTTTTACAAATAAACACTTATTAAAAGATTGATACATGTGTTAGCAGATGATGTTGGGCTTTCCGCTAACAAAGCCCAGCTCTGTGTGCCTCATGTTAGCAGCCTGTGTATAACTGATGAATTCAGACAAGCGCTGTCTCTATTAAGAGAAAAGTGATTTCCCTCCTCTGAGTCATTTAGCTGTCTGATTAATTTGATCTTCTGCTATTCAGGTCTGGTCATAATGCTGGCTGTTGACCACAAAGCAGCAAATCGACCTTTGGAAAAGCTGCACCCTAAAGTATGTCACCTGTTGGCTGCATATGCAAAAATGGAAATCTATGTAATATGTCACATTAACCTTACAACAAAGAAAGGAAAAAAGGGTAAATATAATACTATAATCAGTGGCGGAACTACCAGGGTCGCAGAGGTCGCGGCCAGGCCCTGGAGTTCCGCCACTTGGAGGGGGCCCAGGACACGAGGAAGGGGCCCCTGGGAACCGCTGATTACCAGGATATTTATTATCCCGGTAACCGCTAATGTCAGTACCGGGACCTCTTCCTCCTGTCCTGGGCCCTACATGCTTCACGCTGCTCCCCTCACCTAGCTCCGGGCGCAGCGTGAAGTATGATCCAGCCGCCGCAGCAGCCAATGAGTGGGAGCGGTGTTATCCCCACCCCCCGAATCACACAGAACTGCTGCCGAATAGAGAGCTGCTGCGGACACGAAGGGGAAGATAGGGAGCGGGAACCAGGGGCGGACTGGGCCGGGGGGCAGGGTGGCAATTGCCCCCCGGGCCTCTGTGCTGCCTTTAAAAACTACAAAGTATGTAGCTTCATATTATTTTGCATTGCTGTAATATGTATTGCTGAGATTTGTAGTTCTCTATAGCTGATGCTGTTCTGCATTGCTGTATAATGGTATTGCTGGGATTTATAGTCCTCTATAGCTGATGGTATTCTGCATTGTTGTTTAATGTATTGCTTGTAATTGTAGTTCTCCATGGCCAATGACATTCTGCAATGCTGTACAATGTATTGCTGAGATTTATAGTCCTCTATAGCTGGTGGTATTATTCTGCATTGCTGTATAATGTGCTGAGATTTGTAGTCCCTCTACAGCTTGGAGTTAGTGGCAGTACTACCAGTGTCGCAGCAGTCGAATACGTGCACAGCACTGACGAGACATCCCTCCACTACCAGTGTGCTATGATTTTCCTCAACCCATACTCTACCGCGTCTCTTCCAGGTGCACATGCCATGAAGAAAGGCGGTCATGAAAACAGCTGATTTGGAAGACTCGGGCCCACTGGAAGGGACACAGTCGAGAAAATGTATAGGATCAAGAAGAAATCCTCCGATGCACTAATGATAGTTTGCATAGTCGAGTAGCTGAACGGAGAGGATCCCTGGGACATCTTTTTAAACATAGCCTTCAGGAAACAATCAATGAAAGGCTCTTAGCACATAAGTCAGGAGAGCCAGAAAGGCCAACAGAGAGAATAATCAATGGATGATATTCAGATCATATTTGAGTCATTTCTACAAACCTTTAGGTCCGCAAAAAGATCTCGAAGCAGAGCATTGTGAATGGTATCTTCCAGCTGTAGAAGCAGTGACAACATGTCAAGACGCTCTTTCACACTTAACTTTGATTCTTTGCCTTTTATAAATTGTCTGCAATACATTGAGGCAATAATCAAATATCTGCGTTACAAATCATTAAGGGATGATAGATAGATAGATAGATAGATAGATAGATAGATAGATAGATAGATAGATAGATAGATAGATAGATAGATAGATAGATCAGAAAGACAGACCAGATGAACAGAATGACATCATCAACTTCTGAAGAAAGAAGATGATGAATAGATAGATAAATAGTGATGTATTATAGCTAGACAGATAGGTAGGCAGATCACAGATGGATAGCCTCTGCCAAATGTTTGTACCTGAAGAACAGGCAGCAGTTTAGGTGCGTGATACATGTTGCTCTGTAGAAGATTTGGTTCCTGTTTTTCTCTACATATTCTGCAAACTGGTTTTTGTATCTGAAAAGTGAAAGGATTACTATAATTATCATGCAAAGCGCAGTATATATATATATATATATTTCTGTCTACGTATCTCACAAATCCCAAAAACAAGAAATTTAGTCTTCATTTTAGGATAACAAATTCCTTAATGTCCCTTGTCCAACTATACATCCAGAACTGCTGGATTATAGCACAGATACAGCCTAATATTATAGAATAATGTATTTCAATCTGCATTCAGGCTTGTGGGTCATTATCAGTGAACCATGCCTTCTATAAAGTAAGGGTTGGGCTTGGTCATTATCAGTGAACCATGGCTTCTATAAAGTAAGGGTTGGGCTTGGTCATTGTCAGTGAACCATGGCTTCTATACAGGGTTGGGCTTGGTCATTGTCACTGAACCATGGCTTCTATAAAGTAAGGGTTGGGCCTGGTCATTATCAGTGAACCATGGCTTCTATAAAGTAAGGGTTGGGCTTGTTGGGCAGCATCAGTGAAGTTCACGGAAACCATGGCTTTTATGAAGTAAGGGTTGGGTGGCAATGAGACAATATAAAGAGGGCAAAGAGGAAACAAAACGTTCTTCACCAAACCAGTGCAAAGGCTTGTTAGAACAGAAGGCATGTACATATCTCCCTAGATGTACAGCTGGCGAAGAAGCAAAGAAATGATTTGCATGGCTCTGCTAGTATCCCAAAATGAGGACTATCCTCATTTTTGGGATGAGTCATGTAAATACATTCTGCTTTAAAGTAGAACTATAGCCAAAACATTTTATTTAGTGGATGGAGAAAAGGAGGGTTGTAACCCCTGTCCCTCTTTTTGATATCTGTGTCCCATTGGGGAGATTTCACTTTACTCCTTGCCCAAAAGCCACAACAGACTTCCAATCTATTCCTATTCTGATGGCAGCCGAAAATGTGGTATTTGCTTTCAATAGTAACACTCACCAGGACAAATAAAAGAGCGTGAATCTTCCTAAAGGGGACACAGACCGCAATAAAACCTGATGGGGTTCTAATCCCTCTGCACTCCATAACTAAAACAAAAAAGTTCTGGCTTCGGTTGCACTTTAGGAATGCTCTTTTGTGCTTTTTACTGGTTCAGTGCGGAGCTTTTTTTATTCCTTTTACCCCATCTCACCATGACCTGGCCTGACTTTACCTTTCCTTTGTGATTTTATTAAAATGGGGGAAAATACACTTTGTTGAGTTTTGGTTCAGAAGTATCAACTTTTTATTTTGTGCTACTAAGCTCGATCTGGAATCCAATAAGCGATCAAATACATGTGAAGTGATTTTACCTCCCCAGAAAGTCCTTAAATGTATGGGCCAGCAATGGGGCCAGCCTGTCCCTGATTTCTGGTCGGATTTCAGACGCTCTCTCGAAACCACTAGCGTAACACTGGAAGTACAAAGGGTGGATTTGATGATTACAGCTATATTAGAAGCTCTATATATGAAGAAGGTG